TTAAAATGAATATTACATAGGATTTACCACAGCTTCAAAATTAATACGATTAGCTGCCAAAAAAATTTCCATGTTTTGAAAGTCTTCTCTTGTTTTTAATGGAATATTTGGAATGTGAAAAGGTGTCATGGATTTGGCATAATCTGGATTGACAGACCGCATAATGATTGCCTGGTTTATCAGCACTGAATCCAACTTTTTGCTTACCTCCAGGAGTACTGTACTGTTCAGCATAATTTCATTATGACATTGTTTGTATGTAAAATTACCTGACAAAAGAAACAAAATATCAATTGAGAACGTGCAAAGAATATCAAAACCATAACTACCTATACTGTAAAATATCTTTACCTTTGGATTTGAAAGAGTAAGAAGGCTCCAGTTGCATTTTTGTCTCTTCGTCGCTTTTTTTCTCAAGTAAAATGCCATTTTGATTAGTTTCTGAATCCGGTGATGAATAAGAACATGCTTCAGATCTCGTACCACAAGTGATGGTGTGTACCAAGGAACATTGTGAATTTTGAGACAAACATGAAAGTCCCTTATCAGAACTATTTATCTCTGTTGAGAATGGAAATGAAGATTCAGTATGATCTTGAAGAGAAATATCACTCGATGCTACATCAGGTGCAGATATTGACAAGTTATGAGTGGAAGTTTTATGAATCTCTGAGGTTTTACTCTTTTTGTCGTTTGCCACTTTTTCCTTGATAGGGGAGGGAACTGAGGACATTTTACTATTAAAAAATGTTGCTGCACTATTCTCGCTTGGCATTCTGACGGACATAAAATTTTTCCGATTAGTATGATCCATTTTTCGTTTTTCATTGTGATTTTTTCTGACATCATTTCCAAATTGACTACTGTGAACTTTTTTCTGTTGTTTTTGTTTATCGCCTTGGCTTTGGGACTTTGAATAGTTTGGGAATTCTTGAAGGATTCTGAGCCTTGTACAGTCCTCAAGAGATTGCCTTCTGAGCGCTTTTTCTCTCCTTACTTTGTTTTTCATGTTATTTTCTTTAAGCACATGGATGCTATTTTCTTTAACTGCATTCAAGATATCAGAATTTATCCGAGGCAAAGTCTTGCTCCCACTCTCATCATCACTTTCACTAAGTTTTGTAACTTTTCTCTTGCAACGACCTTTTTTCTTAGTCGGCATATTGTTCTCTTCATCATCTTCATTGTCTCCATCAGAATCTATATAACGCCTTGGTAGCTTCTTTCTTCGTGGAGCGTCATCCGCCTCCGTTTCAAGTGATGTGTTATCTTCAGCTTTCTTCAAACCTTTAATTGCATAATCATACTCATCTGCAATAATAAATATAATAGTAAAAACAATTCTAATAGATTTCTACCATATAGCTCTTTTAAGAAACAAATATTTCATTGCAATAGAAACATTAAAAAATTCTATTGCAACTTAAAGCATATCAAAGTTACAATCATCATAGGAAAGAAATAATGATTCTGAACAATTCATACATCCCAGGCAGCAGAATGACGTGTTAAGACGTCTTAATGACGTGACAGACGTCATTAAGACGTTATTAATACGTCATGTGACGTCACTCTGCCGCCTGGGATTGTATAAAACTTTACTAAAAAAATAAATAGAAAGAAATTTATCTTGTCATATTTAACAAACTTACGGTATAAATGTAGGACTGATCCTTTAAGAAGTGGCCAATGAATGTCAGGCTCAATACAATTTTTTATAGCTCTTTTTAGGTGTATTGCTCTTGACCCTTTTTCTGGCCATCTTTTTGGAGGCCAGAAAATATCTGTGATGTCATCGTGAAGCTTGTCAATCCATTTCACAGGAACCACTGCGATTGTTTCTTCTGCATCCTCCTGTTCCTCTCCCGTAAAAGCTACTATAGCATACTGGAAGAAATAACATATTATAAGATTCAGACAAGAGAACACAATTAAAAATCCAAAACCACATATATTCAACATAATATTGGACGAATCTCAAAGTACTATGACGCTTAACAAAGAAATAATCGTCAGATGCTGTACGGATCATTTCATTACCTATGAAGTATCTGAAAATAAACTTAAGATGGTTTTATATATAAGATCCGAAATAGAATGTCAGTCTCCGAACGAAACAAACGATATTTGGACGTAGAAAAAGCAAAAGTTAAGGTACGCAGTGTAAAAAGTATAAGCAATATAAATAAATCACATAAGTAGAAAACTTGAAGTGTAAACTATATCACCACAAAGAATATAACTAGATTGATAACCAATGTCTCCTGTGAGTAGTAAAAAGCAACACCTATATAGTTATAGCAATGCGAGTGCATAAACAGACAATAACGGATCCTACCTTTATCATCAATAGTCATAATATTCCAGAAGAGCTATGCGCTAAAGGAATACATAGATATGACATTTCATTTTCAGGAATAAGGACACATTTCATAATTGCATCATTCATTTCCCAAGATCTGATTTTATCATCTAGTTGTGAAACAAGAACGATACCAAGCAAGGATGAGTCCATTGGGTATTGATAATAATTATTTTGTGTCTGAAATCGCTGCCCACGTAGGATCACAATATTGTTTTCAGATTGAACAATATTTCGCAACAATACCACAGATCCATCTTCGGTTTTAAAACAATGATCAGGAGTAACGCATCTTAATGTAAACTTATTGTTTGTAAGCTTTTTATAGTGAATCCCTTCAACAATTTCATTAGGATTAAAATGATTTCCTGTCAGCTTTATACCCTCAAAAATAGTTTTCGGCTCTGACAAACATCCATTTGTCTCAGCATCCCTTCTTGCTAATTGTTGTAAAGGATAATATCCTGATCGTAAAGAGTCCTTGATTGTCTTCAAATAGTTTTCATATGGAAAAGCACTAAAGGAATCTAAGGATCCATGTTCATCGCATTCGTCAACTAGATGAGTAAGCCCATGCACATTAGATACAACAAAGTCACGGCTAAAAACTTGACTACTACATTGTATAAATAAGTTCAAAAATTCTCTAGCAGCATTTTTCATTGCAACATTCTGCACAAATAAAGGAGCAGCTAAGATGTAAATGCTACAGTGAAGTAGTAAGAAAGTGTGATAAATTTCGTGAGGAGTATGATCCTTCATTATTTTAACACCATCATATAGTAAAAATCTTCTAATTTCTGTAGCTTTGAGATGAGCAACTTTCTTAAATCGATAGGGCTTTCGGTTGAATTCTTTAGGGATAAATTGTCCAATCCATGCTGAAGTATTTTTAAAAGCTTCAATGTTTTCATCTTTTAATTTGCCTCGGTTTCTTATTTCTAATAATCGCATCATAAATCTTTTCATCGTACCAAGACATACAAGATGAAGATATTCTAGTCTGAATTGGGACACCATTCCTATATTGAGACGCTCTTCTAATGGCGATAATCCTAGGTGATACTCAGGATTTCTTCTATCAATAAATGATTTGTCTGTACGCTTCTGTCCATTTTTCAAATATATCATTCTGTTATGATACCATTCACCTTCAACCTCACACTTTTCACAGGAGAATAATCCATTATGTCCAATGGTACACTTCAGGAAAGATCTTGCTGGAGCATCACAAATAAAGTTATGTATAGACACATTATAGACATAACCATTAAACTCGAAACCATTTATAAAAAGCTCCTCCATCTCTTGAACAAATTCTTCTAAAAATTGTTCTAATGTTGTGGGCTTCGACTCTTTACCAAAATAAACGCTAATAATAAAAGGCTTGCAGGTCATGTCAGCTAAGGATCCTAAAATAGGCCAAAAATGCAATTTGCCACTATTATCCAAAGGTAATCCATCTATATTGATATTTAGTCGTATTAACCCATAAATATTTACATATTCTTGAGTTAGAGAGGAATAAAGATTTCTTTTGACTCCTTTATACCACACGAGCCCGTTGTCAATCTCAGATATTACTGTAGTTTTAGGTGTTTCCAACAAGGTTATGTATGTCTTAGGTAACTCTGGATGTACTCTGTGTAAAATATGTAACAAATTGTTAACTTTTTTTTTTGATACACCACGAGAAGCCCATTCTGCCAAAGCCACACGCAAATAGACACCTTCATCATATTCATCAGACATACTATCAGTGACATTATTCATGGAATCTCTTGTATTTTCTGACCAATCTGAATTATTTTCGTGAACTGAAATATTGCCTTCAGACTGACTGCTATTTTCTATTTGTTCTTGTTCAAACTGTTCTTGCATATCAATATTCGCATCTGATTCTTCTAAAACTAAAAGTTCCTCTTCATTTATATTAGAATGATGAGATGTCTCAGATGAAGAAGTTGATTCTTCATATAATGTCTCATATAATTGCAATCTCAACCTACGTCTACGTTCCATTTCAGCTCGTTTTTTTATAATCCGTTCATGACGGTTCTACACATAAAAGATTCAAGATGCATTGTCATACTATTAAGTAATATAGGCATATTATTTGTAATATATTCAGAAATTCTAAGTTGGAACATTCTAAATAAATTATTTTATTCCCAGGAAACACAAAGTATCATCGATGTTACAATGTCAGCTCAATCATATCGCATATTACGTAAGTGTTACTTTGTTATATAACAAGTAACAGTTACATAATATACCATATGATTGAGCTGACATTGTAACATCGATAATACTTTGTGTTTCCTAGGTTGCTACAAATGTAACATACCAGAAATAAGAATTCTTTGCAACAATGTCACACTGTACCAATGAATATTTTAATATATTATAATTTAACCAAATATTTCCATAAATACATAATATAAGCATAAATTATTTATTTAGAAGTGTCTTGAAATATACACTATACATTGAATAATTATAACAAATATGATAACATCACATGTTATGACATTTATATTATTAGTTTAAGTTATGTTCCATTCATCATTGGAATATATCTTTTATAATTACATTATTACAAGTGCTTAAAACTGATATGCGCGATGTATACTTTCGGGCACTCCAGAAAAGGAAAGTGCGAAAAAGCTTATGGCCCATATTCTAAACCTTCTTTTATCGATAAAAGTGTGTTAAATGTGGCTTCTCAGCCAATGAGATAATTTCTATACCTCTCTTAGTGACACTTTTACTGAAAAAGACAGTTCTGAATGTGTAACTCATTTACCATGTAGAGAATATCGGTTAACGTAACTTAACCTCAATCATTTATACACTATAAAATAAGTATATTGTGCGAAAAAGAAACAATAAATTTACACTTATTACAGGCAAGTCATACTTACTGGTCTTTTATCCATGTCGATATGATAAGTACAGCAGATCGATTTGATCAGTACAGCAATTTTCGCACTTAATAACTTATAATTTTTCGCACTAGCTCCTTCCCTCCACACGTACACTCACTAAGGGTGCGTTCCGAGTCACGCATGAAGCGCGTAGACTGCAATACCCATGCGCAACGCTTCGAAATCGTTCCGTTTCATAAATGCGTGCATAAAACGCATATAATATATATATATATATTAACGCACCAACAAGAAAGAAAGCTGAGAAGTAGTGGCTCTCGATAACTTTCCATTTCCAAGAATTTCCGCTCCTACAGTCCATGAAGTAAAAAATTATCGAGAGTCTACTGTACCACAATATATACATTACAAAACAACGCCGGAGATTCTTCTCAAGTTCATAAAAGAATAAGTCAAATAGTCTCATCATCCTGTAGTCATTTTGATTTCAACATGACGTGGATTACATTTTGGTCTATAATACCACAATTATCATCTAAACATCCATTTTTACCTTTTCTTATGAAATTTTATTGCGTACAAAGTCAATTTATCTGATGTCAATTTTTCGTCAAATTTAATTATTTTTTTGACACAATGACAACAAACGACGGTTTTGATGTCATATTGACATCATTTTGACTAAGCTGTTTTCGCTGGGTACCTTCGATTTTCTATCGCAGAGATTTGATTCAGTTCAGTGTATGCGGTGCGGCCGTCGGTCCTCGTACACGGGACCCTTCTCGAAGTTTCCTTTGTAATTGAACGAGCCCGGCTCGTTCTAACACGATTGCGGATGCAGTAAGACAGTGCCGCGGACGCGCCTATGCGTCGCGGTATTGAAGTCCGTCCGATCTCCCTTCTGGAAATCGCTTATGATTATCACGGGGGTCGTCTCGCGTCTCTGCAAGGCGACTACGGTGTGATCCTTACGCGGATCCTGAATACGCGGTGTCGAAGCTACGCTGCAACGGAGCGTAATCTCGAATCGATGATGACGAGTTCGCACGCGGCGACTCGATACGTTGTGATCTCGCTCGCACTAAGGCGAAGGCGAGATCCGGTTCGCGGTGCGGAAGGTGCGTTGAGCACCCGGGTGTTGACTCCAAGTCCTTCGGTGGCCCTGGAATTCGACGGATAGCGGTGTTTATCAGTGTTGGCGTCACGAATCCGTGAGCCGATGGCGGTGTAATCTCAGTCGCGTATCCGCGAACAGAAATTCACCAGAAACGGTAGATAGAACAATGTCGATATCACGAATTCGTGAGTCGACGGCGAAGTGCTTTCAGTCACGAATCCGCGAACAGAAAGCTGCCAGGAACGGTATCTGGGGATCTCTTTTGAGGTCGGAGGATCGGAATCTGATTCTCTCGAAAAGAGCGGTAGATCGGATCTCGATTATAATTCGCGGCGTTTTATATATTGCGAATCTCGCTTGATTCGTTGTTTACCGCAGTTGTTCGGCGGTTGCGCTGTTTATGTCTGAGAGAGCGCGCTGTCCTCTCTTGCTTCTCTTGATTCGCGATCTTATGCGTTTAATATTTCCGGCTTTTCTCGTGACGATATTCGGATCGTTACACTGTTACAAGTTGTATAATATATGGATTGTTTTCTTCTATAATTCTTAATAATGTGTATATTATAGAACAAAGAATATAAAGTAAGTAAGAGTATAAGAGTATAGTAGTGCTGCATTTTTTCAGTGGACGTGGTCTTATCACGCTTCTTATAATCGGTATATCACTGTACATATTTCTTATACTTAATTTGATACGCAAAACGCAATATTCAAGATATCTGATGTATCTATGAAAAACCACAGTTCCATACATGTAAAATCCTGTTTTCAATAGTATCTTAAGAATCTCTTCCAATATATTGTTAACTTGGGATAGGATAGTTCCATATTATATATAATACATATTATGTTCCGTATTATGCGCTCCATGTTATATGTTGGCACAGCAGTTTTTGCTAAAGCCAATACGACTTTGTTGTCGTTCATTGTATGGTAAAGGTTATACTTTATTGTACTGTAAATGTTTTTGGAAAGATGATAGAGTGGTCGTAATCATCCAATTTCTTCACAAATTTAAGCATTTTTTTCACGAGTCATGTAAGTTTTCACTTTGTAATGATCTATTTCTAACGGTCGAGAACATAGTCGAGTAGAGTAAATTACGTAGGTACGTAGATTTTGCCATAATATTATTTTCTGTCTATTTCCCTTATTTAATTTGTAAAAAAACTTAAATGAAGAATTATTTTATATGTGAGCTTCTTCAAAAACAGCCTTGACTCAAGATAGTATAAAATAATCAAATCAAGGACGATAAGTTTAAGAATTTATAACTATTTCTTTTAATTTAATATTTTTTTATGAAATTTTGGAAAACACAGCGTAATTGGTTTAAATTTGCTTGCCTACGTCTGTTTGTTACATGAAATTAATCAAATTTAATGGTTCTTTTGTTTTCAGAGCTCTATTACTCATGAATACGCAAATATGGACAGTTATTCTCTTTTGGATGTATTAAAGTTATAGAATATATATATATAGTATATAAAATATATATATAGAATATATATATATATATATATATATATATATATATATATATATATAGAATATATAGTTATAGAATATATATATAGTATACAGAATATATTATGAGCGCAGAAGCTTAGTAGGATCTAACAGGATTCACAATTTACGTTCCCTTAAACATTATGAATTTCCTAAAAAATGGCGTCGCTTTAAAAAGCATTAAAAAGAATCAGTCACCAATAAATTTACGATTATATTATTATTTACATCTGTGAATGAAATTTCTTCGCTAGAAAGCATAGGTCGGTTAAACTTTTTTAAGTCCAAGAATTAGAGATAGTCAAAATATAACTGAGTTTATTATTATATGGGCAATTTAAAAATTTAAACAATTTTTTAAATGTATGAAGATGGCAAAATAGGGTTTTGTCCGCTTTGGGTGTTTCTCCCCACTGTGTGATAGTTTCAGTAGCACGCGAAATGGATACCCGATATGAATAAAAGCCGCGCGGTTCTTACTTGCTGAAAAGTTACCCGAACGGACACTGCAGATCATATTGTAACTACACGAGAAATTTTAAAGAAACGTTTTTTTTTTATTAATATAACAATCTATTATTTTCTGCGTTCGTCTTTCCCTTGTTCTGCAAATCCATAACGGTATTTCTGATGATAGGTGATAAAACATTCATGTAGATATGTATAAATTAAGTCAAAATAAATACAAAATTGTTTTACTATTTTACAAACAACCATATAACATTTCCAGTTATTAATTAAAGGTGAATAATTCCCCCGCAATACAGAATGTAAATATTAGGACCTTAACTTAGTTTCCGCCCGCAAATGTTAGATGGCAATGCAAACAGTTCTAGTAGTCATTACTAACGAAACAGGTAGTTTGTGATTAATTTCGACATTTCTCGATAACATTCAGTCAGCATACACAATTATTTTCCTAAACAACAATTTCTTTTGCTTTGTGAAAAATGGAACGCGATAAAGTGTTTTTTCGACATGTGCTTTTGCACT